TGTTAAATTTTGCTTGTCTTACTGGGGTGAGATGATATCTCATAGTTGTTTTGATTTGCATCTCTCTTAGAGCTAGGAATTTTGAACATTTCTTCATGTGCTTGTTAGCCATCTGAATGTCTTTGGTGAAGTGTCTGTTCATATCCTGTGCCCATTTTTCTACTGGATTATTTACCTTTATCTTGTTGTGGTGCTCCAGCATTTTATAAATTCTGGATATTAGTCCCTTATCTGATAAGTCATTACTAAATACTTTTTCCTAATATGTGGCTTCCCTTTTTACCCTGTTGGAGACAGTTTTGGATGTGCATAGGGATTTGATTCTTAAAAGATCCCATTCATCTATTTTATCTTCTCCTGGTTGTAGGTCTGTCATCTTTTCAGTACTTATATACTTACCTCTTTCAAATATATATAAAAATTGAATTGTCTTTCATTATAATTTATTTTTTTTTATATAGGAATCATGGCATCCAGTGTGAGCATAATTGGTCAACGTATGACCTATGGGTATGGATGTGGTGATTTTGAAGATGATAAACCCCATGACATTTCACCTAGTACTGTAAAAATACAAAGTAAGGAGCACCCAAGACATAAGCATACAAAAGGTTAGTAAATTTCATGACAAATTGATTTTTAAAAATTTAATGTTTTTGTATCAGAGTCCTAATTGATTATATAAATTTTTTTAAATCATTGACTTTGAGATTTTTATCTTGCCCTCTTGTTGATGTGTTCTTGCTCAATAATTTTGCCAAGTAAATATTTACAAATTGGTTTAAAGCCTTGCATCAAAAGCAAATCTACTAAGAGGTTAAGACTGAGAAATTCTTGCAACTTCATCCCCCAAAACACCCCCCCCCCAGTTTTAAAAGATATTTTACCACTAAAATAAAGCAGAGAAAATTATGTGAGTAAGTGACTCCCAGATGCCTAGTTATGTTGTAACCATGGAATAAAACTGTGGCAACAGAAGTATAATTTCCCTGTGGTAGTTGAGAAGGCTTCTCTTTTGTTGTTAACAGTTGTTAACTATTTACATTCTTTTTTCTTTTTTAACTCAGTAGCAAATATCCATACTCTGACTACTCTTATCAAGGATTCAAAATTCTGTTATTGCTGTGATTTTTTTAAAATTTACCTTAAGACTAAAAATTATTTTAAAGGGTATTAAGTAATTAAGTAGATAGAATAATTTTGGTTCATCTGTATTTAATCTTGTAACCTCTCAGTCTATGTGGTAAGGAAATTATATGCTTTCTGAAGATTTTATTTTTTGTTTTGTTTCTTCTATGTAGCCATTATTACGACAGTAGAGTAAATGTGTATTTGTTATTTCTAACCATCTTATGTCATCTATGTGCAGATAATCAGGCTATTTTAGGAGTGTGAATGTATGTGTGGAAATGAGAAGGAACTTGGTTTGAAGCTTTTTATGTTTTTCTCATAAACTTCTTCAGTTTTAATCCATGATACAATTAAGTGTTTGTGACAGCTCATTTCTATTGCTTTAAAAAAAATGATAGGGTTTTTCCATGCTACTTATGTATTTTAAAAAATACTTCATATGAAGAAAGTGAAGGATGAAAAATACTTGAAGGTAATTCATATTCCTAACATAACTTTACATTATCTTTTTAAAAATTGCTGATTTTGTCCATTTAATACTATTGGCATTCTATTTTGAACAGCAGGGCCATATTTATTTTTAATAAAATTTTTTTAATACTGGTTTATGGACAAAGTTCATATGCTATGTTTTTTACATCAGATCTATTTCAAAATTTCTTGACTAGCAGTTAAATCTACTCTAAGAAATTACTTTTCATTTGTGTTTCCAACTTTATACCAACCACTAAGGTATCTGGTCAACCTAAATACCACATATTCAAAATTATACTTCATTTTCTTTCTAGTCCTGCTCCTCTTTGCTATTTATTTTTATTAGTACTATTGCTGTTCTTCCGATTTTGGTACTTAAAACTTTGAAATTATTTTTTGCGGTTTTTTTTTAATAGCATTCAGTTTATTACAAATATTTAATATTGGCTTCCCATATTTCCCCCCTTTTGTTTTTTATCATTATTATGTTATCATGTAGATGAGCATCCTTTATACACAAATAAAGCAAATTAACATGATAAACTCAAAGAAATACTTTCAAAAATCTCCATATGATCTGAAGGATTCAGGTTGAATGACTATTCCTTGAAAGTCTGTTTTAATTGTCCCATTGCCACAGTGCTTGTTAAAACCAGTTCTGATTAATGTCCTTTGTCAATGTGTCCTTTGCCATTCCCTATCACTCCTCCCTGAGAGACATTTCACCCTGATTCATAAGGAAAAGGGGACGGTGTATTCTCTTAGCTACTTCCTGCTGAAAAGGGACGCTGTAGGTTTCAGGGTGAAGATCTTCTCTCACTACTCTAAAGGGCCCCTTTGGCAATAGGAAACACATAAACTATTGTGGAGATTGATTTTGGAATTTAGATGCACTTTTATTAATTGTGCTTAGCCGTACATGTTCATATTCTTGAAGATGCATCATGGAACTGTTGCAGCCTAGAAGACACAAATTTAACAAGTTAAAAGTACATGAGTCAAAAATTAAAAGCAATAATATTCCAAGTAGAGGTTCTAACAGTGGTACAAATCAAGTTACACAGGGAAGGTAGTTCTTAAAATAAAAGGCTTATTGACTAGCTCTTTGTCTATTTTAGTATAAAGGTTAGGAACCACAAGATGTAGAGGCTTAACTATGTCATTTATTGCTCTTAAATCCTGGACTAAATTCCATACCACTGGGTTGTTTTACAGCTCAGAAGTCCACATGCAAGACAGAGGTGAAGTAAGGAACTGCTTATGAGGTTTTCTGTCAATTGCAACAACTAAGAAATAGTGAGAAGAGCTGGGACCTCAGAAGGCTTTTAGGAACAAATAATAGGCTCCTGTGTTCAGGAAAAAATGAATATACTTACCAGTAATGTTAATGCTCACCCACGGCTCTTCTGGGAGGATCTGAATCATTGGAGTGAAATAATTTTTGTCTATATCTCCTCACTCTCCAATTCAAGCAGTGGCCAATATCCTACAACTTTTCCTGAGTCTTGGTTTATTTTTTCCTGTCACAATTGTAATTTGAGTTTTGTCACTTCTTCTCTGGAAAATTATAAGAACCTTCTATTGTGGCACTTTTTCTTTTTATCCCTTTTCCATCCAGCCTGCATTATCTCTTCCAGAATTATCTTTTACGCTACAGTTAAAAACTTGAGTGGTTTAAAAAAAAAACACACCAAAACCTTGAGTGATTTCTTATTTCTCATAAAGTTTCTAATCTGAGTTTGACTTCTAAGACTTTTTTTTTAACCTTTCTTTTGGGGATTTTTTAAAATTGTTTTATTGGTTTCCATATAATTATTCATATACATCATGTCTTAAGCGTTTTAAACAATCATTCATATACTTTATATTTTATATCATTTGTTACCATTTTTCTAGGCCATTGTAAGACATGGCTAAGAATCTTGACTCACGTGGTTCGAATCCACCAGATGCTCTGTTGTAGAAGGAGGGACATTCTCCTCCAGTACCAGTCAGATCCAGTTTGACTGTACTCTCTCTCTCTCTCTCTCACACACACACACACAGTCACTCACTTACTCACTCACTCACAAAAAAGAATCTTGACTCAGAATATCTTTCTTGCATTACCTTTTGTTGTTAGGTTCCATCAAATTTACTACAACTTATAGCAACTCTGTGAACAACAGATCAGAGTCTTGCCCTGTCCTGAGCCATACCATTTTTTATGTGCTCCAGTCCATTGTTACAGTCATTGTGTCAGTCTACCTTGTTGGAGTCTTCCTCTCTTACTCTGTCCTTCTGTCTTTGTCAGAATGACATCCTTTTCTAAGGACTGGCCCCTCCTGATAATATACGCAAAGTCTCTGAAACAGTTTTAACATCCTTAACTCCTGTATTTCCTCCAAGACAAACTTGTTATTTTGGCAGTCTGTGAATTATGTAGTATACTTCTCCAACACCACAACTCAAAAACATCTATTCTTCTGTTACTCTTAGTCACTGTCTAACTTTCAGATCCATAGGAAGTAATTAAAAAGGCCATGGCTTAGATTGGGCACTCCTTAATCTTTAAACTGACTTCCTTCCTTGTTCTTTAGACCTTTGAAAAGGTTCTTGACAGCAGATTTTCCCAGTGCAACAAGTATATTGATTTCTTGGCTGCTGTTACCAAGATATTGTTTATAGATTTAACAAGATGAAATTGTTAATTATTTTGATCTTTTCTCCATCTATCATGATATTGCCTATTGGCCCAGTCGTGAGCATTTCTGTTTACTTGATTTTGAGGATGTAATGTGTATTGTAGACTGTAATTCTTGATCTTCTGCTGCAAGTACTTCAAGTCCTTCTCACTGTTAGCAAGCAAGGTTGTGTCATCTGCACAGCACAGATTTTGATGAGTCTTCTCTGATCCTGATGTCCCTTTCTTCTTCACATAGACCAGCTCCCAATGATTTGTTCAGAGTACAGATTGAATAGGTGGCTTAAAGTTCAAGAGGACAAATGGCCTGGATGAGTTAACCCAATTCCATGGACTAAAAATTTTAATTCCAGAAGAATTAAACATTTTCTCACAGACCCGTTGTTGTTTTATGTATAGTCAAGTCATCTATGACTCAGAGCGACCCTATAAACAATATATATGACCTTATCTTTGGGGAAAAAGGTGCCTGATAAGCAAAGATCAACTAAAGAATAACACGATCTGGACAGAAACTAATCTACTTAAGTAGTTGTTGTTATGTACTGTCAAGTCAGAACTGACCCATAGCTGATCCTCAGGCAGTTTTTCAGAGGCATTTAATCAGGATGCCTGATCTACTTACAGATTTGTCTGTTCTGGATTTTTTTTTTTGCAATAAATTATCTTTATCATTGATTTTATTTTAATCTTAAAAATTTGTTATGATGTACTGACCCTCCTTCAGTGTTCAGAGGCTGTGTCACACAGGCAGAGATTGCCTATCTTTCTCCCTTGGAGCAGCTGGTAAGTGCCTACCGATTAGTTCGTTTTGCAAGAAAACTTTGAACTTTTTTTGTTCATTCTTGGAGCCATCTCTGCCTCTCTTGTTCCTCTCCTGTTGAGTCTTCCCATTTTCCATTTTCAGAAAATGATTAATCATGGATATTTGGGTGTTAGCAAACTGCATCTCATGTGTCAGTATGTCCTTTCTCTACTTGAATAAACTGGACGAAAAAGTAAGGAGAAATTAAATAAACGTTATGTTATGTGTAAACTCTTTTTAATACACCTAAATGTAAGGGGGTATTGATATTTAGTGAGAATTCTTAGTTCAAAAGAATGAAAAAAGTAAAATTAAAACTGATTTTATCAGCTTCTCTCACATTGACGTTAACCTACTTAACAATAACATGTCGTATTTTTTTCCTCATGAAATTAGTGTACTTGCTTAGCCATCTCTTAACTTTATTTATAGAGTTTATGCTATGGACTATTTGTTAAGAAAATTTTTTTCCCTTTACTGAAATATGCTTCTCTTTATTGTTGAGTAACTTTCTGGGCTTCTGGATTTTCTTTCCGTTTGTTTGCCTTGTAGGAATGCTAACTAGTTTTGATTATTCCAGATTATAATTAAATCAGGGAGCTCTAGTGGCCTAGTTTTAAGAAGCTGCACTGCAGTCCCTTAGTTCAGATCTACCACCTGCTTCATGAGAAGAGAATGGACATTCTCTTCCTGTGTGATTTACTGCCTGGAGTGTCAACTATGGGTCGGCTTTAACTCGATGACACACAACAACATACTTAAATAAGAGAATGTGAAAAATTGCCATCTGAACAGCTTTCTTTCTTTAGTGTCTGCCATATGTTCACAAGGCCACAACAAGTCATTTGCCTTAGCAAATTACCAAAATAATCTCTTTTTCATTATTTAATTATTTTTTTTAAAAATCAGCAACTTACTCCTTAAAAATAGAAAAAAAGGTAGGGGGCATCTCACTCCCTGATTTAAATCCCACTACACTGCCATGGTAGTTAAGACAGCATGGTACTGGTACAATGACAGACACATAGATCAATGGAATAGAATTGAGAACCCGGAAATCAGCCCATCTATTTATGGTCAACTGATTTTTGTCAAGGAGATGAAATCAGTTAGGTGGGGAAATTACAGCCTTTTTAACAAATGGTGTTGGCAAAATTGGAAAACTATCTGCAGAAGAATTAAACAAGATCCCCACCTCACTCCATATACAAAAACCAACTCAAGGTGGATCATGGACCTAGGACTAAAACCAAGGACTATAAAATTCATTAAAGAAAAGCTTGGAAGAACTTTAGTCGTCCTAATCCACAACATAAAGAGTCTTCCAAGTATTCTGAAAAATTTATAACCAGGAGAAGATAAAATAGATGAATGGGACCTTCTAAGAATCAAATCCCTATGCACATCCAGAAACTCCTCCAACAGGGTAAAAAGGGAAGCCACAGACTGGGAAAAAGTGTTTGGTAATGACATGTCAGATAAGGGACTTATATCTAGAATTTATAAAATACTCGAGCACCACAACAAGATAAAGGTAAATAATCCAATCAAAAAATGGGCACAGGATATTAAAAGACACTTCACCAAAAAGACATAGATATGGCGAACGAGCACATGAAGAAATGTTCAAAATCCCTAGCTCTGAGAGAGATGCAAATCAAGACAACTATGAGATATCATCTCACCCCAGTAAGACTAGCAAAATTTAACTGAACAGCAAGCAACAAATGCTGGCGAGGTTGTGGAGAGACTGGATCCCTTATTTACTGTTGGTGGGAGTGTAAAATGGTGCAACCACTGTGGAAAGTAGTGTGGTGCTTTCTCAAAAAGTTGCAAATAGCGATACCATTGACCCAGCAATTCCACTACTGGGAATATACCCTAAAGACACCATAAACAACATCCAAGTAGATATATGCATACCCATGTTTATCGTGGCTTTGTTTACAATAGCAAGGAGTTGGAAACAGCCTAAGTGGCCGTCAACAAATGAATGGGTAGAAAAGCTGTGGTATATTCGCACAATGGAATACTATGCTGCATTGAAAAACAAGGAACTCATGCAATAGTGTTCAAAATGGGTGACCCTGGAGGGCATGATGCTGAGTGAAATATCTCAGTCACAAAGGGATAAATGCTATATAGTGCCACTGTTATAGAATGAGGCTGACATCGGGGTGGGGGTAAGACTGAGAAAAACTGGATAAATTATGTTTACTGCATTGAAGTCTATGAGAGAGAATAGTTTTAAAAGTATTATATTTTAGGGCATTATGTTTATCATAAGAGTATGGAATGAGGGTTGCAGAGTGGATTATATTTGAGGTGGGGGTGGGGGTGGGGCGTGTGCGGGCTGGGGGGATTGTGTACCGATGAAGGAGTTTTTCCTTTTCCAGGAGAAGAGCAAATGGGGGTGACGAACGGGGAGAAAAGTGCAACAATGAATGAATGGAATTCCAGAATCTCTGTAGATGTTCATTGAAATGAAAAATAAATAAATTAATTTTTAAAAAATCATCTACTTGATTAAATTTACCAGTTATTAACTGCTTTACTTTCACTGAACCTAAAATAATCTATGCTTTTGCTTCTATTTCACCTTGATGTGGAAATTAGCTAACAATATCATTAATATCACATGCAACCAAAATACTGCTGAATATTTTTAAAAAATGGCTAAAACAGTACATAGCTAGGAAACTACTGGAAGTTGAAGCAGGATTTAGAAGAAGCAGTGTCATCAGGGATATATTTGTTGATATGTGATGGATCCTGGCTGAAAGCAGAGAATACCAGAAGAATGTCTATTTGGTTTTTTAATGACTATGCAAAGGCATTTGACTGTGTGGGTCATAACAATTTATGGCTAACATTGAGACGAATGGGAATTTCAGAACACTTTGAAACCTATACATAGACCAACAGACAGTTGTACAGACAGAGCAAGAAAACACTGTATGGTTTAAAATTAAGGAAGATATGCATCAGGGTTGTATTCTTTCTCCATCCAAATACTTCGAGAAACCAAACTCTGTGAGGAAGAATGTGGCATCAGGTTTGAAGGAAGATTGATCAGTAACCTGGGTTGCGCAGTTTATATAACCTGGTTTGCTGAAAGTGAAGAGGACTTGAGGGACTTAAATGATCAAGAACTTTGATATGAGTTGCATTTCAACTTCAGGAAAACAAAAGTTCTCACTACAGGACCAACAGACAACATTAAGATACAGATGGAGAAAGGATTGAAGCTGTCACTGATTTCATTTTACTCGGATCAGCATTCAGCACTTTTGGTACTAGCAGTCAGAAAATCAAGAGATATATTGCATTGGGCAAATCTGTCAGTTATCTCTTCAGAATGCTGAAGAGCAGTGATGTCAGTTTGAAGACTAAGGTGTGCATAATTCAGGCCATGGTCTTCTCAATCACCTGTCCATCAGAGAACTGGACAATGAAGAAGATTGACAGAAGAAGAATCAATGCCTTTGAGTTATGATGCTATTGAAGAGTACTGAATATCCCATAGACTGCCAAGAGAGTGAACAGAGTGTCTTGGAGAGGTGACAGCTGGAGGGCTCCTTACAGGCAAGAGTAGTGAAGATTCATTTTTCATACTTTAGACATGTAGGTAGGTGAAGCTATTCATTGTAGAAGGACATCAATCATACTGTTAAAGATGAGGGGGTCAGCAAAGGAAGAAAGGCCCCCAATGAGATTTGTTGACACAGTGACTCCAGCAGTAGGCTTGAGTGTTTCAGAGATAGTGAAGATGGCACAAAATAGGGCAGGGTTCAGATTGGCTGTTGATAGGTTCATTATGTCATACTTAATAGCATTAACACTTAGGTGCTGTCAAGTTGAGTATGATTTATAGCAACACTATAGGAAAAAAAGATCTGAACCCTGTCCTATCCTGTGCCATCTTCACACTTTCTGACAGACAGAAGCCCACTGCAGCAGTCAACGGGTCAGTCCACCTGGTCGAGGGTCCTCCTCTCCTTCGCTAACCATCTACCCTTCCTAGCATCATGTCCCTCTCCAAGGAATAGCCCCTCCTAGCAACATGTTCAAAGTATGTGAGGTGAAGCCTCATCATTTTTGCCTCCAAAGAGCGCAGTAGTGATAAGTAATTATGCTTGCAAGCTCACAGGTATATGGTTTGAATCCACCAGCTGCTCTATGGGAGAAGCAGCAACCTCTCCTCCTGTGATTTACTGCCTCTGAAAACTTGTCAGCTATGGATCAGGTTCAACTTGATGGTACACAACAAGAATATGCAAACATTATGCACTAGGGGGAAAAGGGATAATAAAAAATAGACATAAATTCTCTTCCCATGAGCTTTAAAATCTAGTAAAACAAAGCACACTAAAGAAATATATGCCAACATTATTTCATGAGCATTGCTGTAAGTCAAATACTATGTACTCTCTTGGGGTGTGGGGGGAATGATAGTGAAAAGTAGACCTAGATTTTATCCTCATTAGCTTTAGTATCTAGTAAAAGAAAAGTCCACTGCTGTTGAGTCACTTCTGGCTCATAAAGACTCTCCATCAGGTTTCCAAGGCTATACATGCTAAACAAAGGAAACTGTCCATCTTTCTCTGTCAAAACAGCTGGATTGGAACTGCCAACATTTTATTTAACAAAACAACATGCTACACACTACAACATCAGTACTCCTTTTATAGTCTAATCCCAAACTGAGATAAAAGTTAACCTAGGTAAGTACAGGGAGCTGTGAGAGTGACCTAAATTTTTTGGAGGATAAAGACTTTTCACAATTTTTCCTTTGTTCCACGTTGTTTTTTTGTGATTATTTGCTTATGCATCTCTCCTACCGACAACCATGAAGTGTATAAACTCTTCAGAAAAGTTTGTTTTTTTTCTGTAGTTCCTGGTCTTTAAGGTATATTATTTATTTAAGGTATACTATTTACTGAATGTGTACACATACATTGTAAACTCTTTATATGAAATTTTATTTTCCATTTTTAAAGACCATATCCTAAAATATTATGTAATAAGTAAATGTTTTTTACATATGGGATCTGTTGTTTTGTTTTGTTTTTAGGATTTACAGGGTCATCAGCAAATTTACAGCAAATTTCCAGTTATGACTTGACATCCACAAATACCTTATCAGAAGACTCAGTAGTAGTGGTTGGAAAAGGTACTTAAGAGTTATTTAGCTTTACAACTATGTTAATATCTGTACATTAAATTACATTTACTTCCCCTTCCTCTTAACAGATGAGGACATAGGGTTTTGGTAGAGAAAACGCTAGACATAAATTTGCATCTAGATTATTTACTCTGTAATCCCATAAATTACAGACTGAATAAAAAAAATAAAGAATTTTCATTCCTTGGGGGGAAAAAATTATTCAGCTTGTAATTTTATTTGTTCTTCACCAAAGCAAAATATATCAATAAGTAATAGAGAAGAATATAATACAGATATTAAAAAGAATGTTTTTATTAAAAAAATGTTAAAAATTATTTGTTTTAAAAAAGAATTCATTTGAAAGAATTAGGAGTACTTATTTTTATACCACTTACATCCCTCCCTCCCAAAAAAATACATCCCTCCCCTCCAAAAAATACTTAAGATAAATGTATGTCAGTAATTTTTAGAGAGTTATATACTATAATAGCTGTAATCCAGGTACTTAGAGCTAAACAAAAATAGCATTAGAATAAATTAAATGGTAGTCCTTACTTTAAGTTAATAATCTATATAAGTTAATATCATTTATTGCTCCCATAAAAATTGTTAAGTCAAAATTTAATTCTTGAGTTATTTATTTAAGTCTAATAGATAGAAGGTCTTGGAGTGACATATTTACAAATATCCTTTAAAAATTGCTGTGACATTTTAGTAATCATTTCCCTTTTTAATTGTAAAATTAGAATGTGGTATCAAACATTGAAAGTGTATACCTTTAGCTCTTTTTTCAATATGGTGAAATGCTTGAACATCTTTTGTAACTTGTATGCCTGAAACAATCTCAGGTTAACTTAAAAAGTTTCTTCCCTCAGATTGACTACAGATTACTCTCACAGCCTCATTTTCTACTATTTCTGTTTGCCTTTTCTTCAGCCAAACTAGTTTATTTTCTCTATTTACAAACTTCATGTTTGCTCAGCACCGTTTACAAGCATCCTCATCTTAGGACATCCTTCTTTTCTACCTTTCAACCTGTCCAAATCTAACCTATCCCAATCTCAGCTTCCTAAGACCATCTTAGAATCAGCCAACATCATCACTCCTAGTTAACACAGCACATTGAATTTATAGTTATTTGACATTATGAGCTTCCTGCGGCACATCTTTTATTATTGTGCTTTTAAATGATTTGATGTTCACACTTTTATGATTAATTTGTCTCTCTTACTAACTGTATTGTTTACTTCTTCAAGGCAAGAGCCCTATCTTAAACTTTATTATTGTACCCTCACACAAATATTTAATGATTGGTGATTGATTGATTTCAGGTGTATTTGGAAATGCTAATTCAGCACCAGCAACTTGCAACCAATCAGTAATCTCTTCTGTGGAAAATGAGGATGCATTTTCTGTTAAACAAAGTTTTGAACCACCATCAGGAATTTATGGAAGAGCAGTCCAACAAAATATTTCATCATATCTTGATGCTGAGAATGAAAAAGATGTAAGGGTATGTTTTAACTCTAAGAATATGTTTAAACCTTATAAGATGTTATCATATTGTACATATGAAATTTGATGTGATGAATATTTTTAATTAAAATTTTTATCTTTAGTTAAAATCTTGCTTATGTAGGTAAAATTCTGATCCTTAATCATTTGAATACTTACTTTCTCATTCTGGTGTTAGAGCACATAGTAGTATATAGTTCCTGAGCGGAGTAGATGTTTAAGTCCTCCTCTATTAGCCAAAAAGTTGGCAGTTTATTTTCTCCCAGAGGAGTCTTAGAAGAAAGAACTCACAATCTCTACCTTTGAAAACACTATTCAGTGAAGTTCTGCTCTGCAGTGCAAGAGATCACCATGAGCTGGCACCAATTCAACATGAGCTAAAAACAGCAAGTTGTGTGTAAATATTTGACATTTAGTTTATCTGTCCAGATTTCTGACATCACGTAGCACAAACATAGACTTTACTGTTGTCACGTTGGTTCCGACTCAGTAGTGACCCTCTTGATGTTAAGTGCCATCCAGTTGAATACGACTCATAGCGACCCTGTGAACAAAGGATATGAACCCTGTTCCATCCTGTGCATCCTCACTCTTATGTTCATGTACAAAAACTTACTCATTTTGTTTCATTGTTACATTGTATAATATTTTCAGGGCACTCCAGTAACTAGAGCCTCTAATACTTAGGGCAGGGTGGTATATCTCAAAGATGCCTTATTATAGATGTAATTTTGTTCTTATAATTAAACATGGTCTTAGAATTTATAATACATCACTAATTCTATGTTGTTGTTATATGCCATTGAGTCACCTGCGACTCATAGCAACCCTGTGTACAACAGCCCTAAACCCTGCTCTGTCCTGTGCCAATCACACTGCCTCTGACACATCCATCTCGATTACCCCAGTCACTGAATCAATCCATGTCATAGAGGGTCTTCCCCTCTTGCGCTGTCCCTCCACCCTCCCAAGCATGACGTCCCTCTCCAAGGACCGGTCCCTCCTTACAACATGTCTGAAGTATGTTAGATGGAGCCTCAGAATCCTTGCCTCCAAGGAGCCGCCCAGTTTGACCCTTTCCAGGATGAATCTGTTTGTGGCAGTCACCGTGTCATTCCACCTGGTCAAGAGTCCTCTCCTTTGCTGACAGTCCACGCTTCCCAGCATCGTGTCCCTCTCCAAGGAATAGCCCCTCTTAGCAACATGCCCTAAGTTTGTGAGGTGAAGCCTCATCATTCTTGCCTCTAAAGAGTGCTCTGCCTGCACCCTCTCCAAGACATATTTGTTTGTTCTTTTGGCTGTCCATGGTATGTCTTCTCCAACACCACAGCTCAAAGGCACTCACACTACAGTAATGCTGTAGGACAGAGGAAAACTGCCCCATCAGGTTTCTGAGATTATAAATTTTTATGAGATTAAATTGTCTCATCTTTTTGGTTCCAATCACCATTGATTAGCAGCTAAAGTTTAGCCAACTATGTTACTTGGACTGATAAACACATAGGCATATATATATATATTCAAGACACCTGGCAGTATGTTGGTTAAATGCACAGCTGAAAACTAAAAGCTGGAAGTTTGAACCCATCCACTAGCACTACAGTCTACAGGTTTAAGAAGTCATGATCTGATTCTATAAAGAAAATCCTGGGGCATCTCTTCTCTGTCTCATTTGTCTCTGTCAGAATTGACTCAGTGGTCAATATGGACACATACTGACACAACAATATGCACATACCTTTTTCTGGGATATACTTAAAGAATAGCAGACTAATAACTTCAGGCATGATTCCTAAAATAATGACTAAAAATTATGTAGTTTCTTTTGTTTAGGCATCTAATATGTATATGTTGTTGTTGATTGTCGTCAAGTCAAGCATGATGCATAGCAACCCTATGAACAAAAGGCCTGAAGCCTTTCTATAACTATTGTCATTTATCAAAGTTCATATAGTTTCCAGAGGCATGTTGTTTAGGAAGTAGATGCCATGCCTGTTCCCAAAATATGTATATGTTGTTGTTATGTACCATTGAGTCACCTGTGACTCGTAGTGACCCTATGTACAACAGCCCTAAACCCTGCTCTATCCTGTGCCAATCTCATTGGCTCTGACACACCTACCCCTATTACCCCAGTCACTGAATCAATCTATCTCATTGAGGATCTTCCTCTCCAGTGCTTTCGCTGTCCCTCCACCCTCCCAAGCATAACATCCCTCTCCAAAGACTGATCCCTCCTTGCAACATGTCCAAAGTATGTCAAACAGAACTTCAGAATCCTTGCCTCCAAGGACCAGCCTGGCTTCATCCTCTCTAGGAAGAACTTGTTTGTTCTCCTAGCTATCCATGGTATATTCAGTACTCTTCTTCAGCATTAAAGCTCAAAGACATCAACTTTCCTTCTATCATCCCTAATCATTGTCTGGCTTTCTGATGCATAAAAAGTGATTGCAAAGACCATGGCCTGGATCAGGCTCACCTTAGTTTCCAGAATGAAATCATTGCTCTTCAGTACTTTGAAGATGTCTCTAACAGCAGAATTTCCTGGTTGCTGCTACCAAGAGTGTTGACTGTAGAGCCAAGCAAACTGAAGCTAGCAATCTCAATCTCTTCATTATCTATCATGATGCTGCCAATCAGCCCAGTGGTGAAAATCTTTGTTTTCTTGATGTTGAGCTTCAATCTATATTGAGGGTTGCAGTCCTTGACCTTTTGCAGCAAACACTTCAGGTCTTCCTCAGTTTCAGCAAGCAGTATTGTGTCATCTGCATAACACAGATTGTTGATGAGTCTACCGCCAATCTTGATGCCACACCTCTATTTATAGATCCCAGTCTCCAAGATAATCTGTTCCTCAGATAGATTGAAAAGATATGGAAACAGGACACATCCCTGGCATACACCCTTCCCAATTTTGAACCATGCAGTGTTTCCTTGTTCTGTTCTGACAACTGCCTCTTGGTAAGGTATAGGTTTTGCATAAATACAATCAAGTGTTCTGGGATTCCCATTCTTCTCAGAGTCAGCTACAGTTTGTTATGATCCACACAGTCAAATGCCTTTGCATAGTCAATGAAACATAGATAGACATTCCTCTGATAGTCTCTGCTTTCAGCCAAGATCCATCTGACATTAGCTATAATATCCCTAGTGCCATGGCCTCTTCTAAATCCAGCCTGCACTTGAGGCAGTTCTCTGTTGATATGCTGTTCCAGTTGTTCTAATGTATAATATATACATATATAATGTATATACATTGTCTATATAATGTATATTGTATAATATATACAATGTGTATGTACAGATAAAATGTATAGATACTGACTTGAGAGTCATTTTATATGCCAAACTCCCTGAATACTTTAAAATTTCAACTTTTTCATGCAGAGTAAAGTTTCTATTTCAAAATCTACTTATGACAAGATGAGACAGAAGAGAGAAGAAGAGAAGGAGCTTTTTGAGATTAAAGATTGTGAAAAAAAGCAACAAAACCCCTTGGAACGAATAAAGCATAAAGGCACTGACAAAATGGCATCTGAGAGTAAGTAGAATTTAATTGTTATTGCATTTTTGGAGTACAAATATTCTAAAGCTAAAACGATTTATTAATCAGTCATTGGTAGCTAGGAATAGAATCCATTGGCCTACAATACTAATAGTTTAAAAACCTGGTAGCTTCTATTGTAATAAATATTCTTTTCAGTAAAAGGAAGTTGATTGATTCTTTTTCTCCCATCTAGACTTAAATATTTTTGGTGAGGAGGTGGGAATGTCAAAAAATGAGAGTTCCCTTTTAGAAAACATTACTTTGCACCCTACATTGAAAGGAGGGACCAGTTTAAAAAGATCACCATCTTTAGTATTTTCAGACCCAGGTAAGTCATTTGTTTAAATGTAAAGAGTAATGTTCAAGTGCTTATTAAACTAGAGACCAGTTATGTAGTCTAGCGCATTTGTAACTGAAAGAGCACTGAACTGTGCTTAAGAAGAACTGACTTCTGAAGAATCCAGTTCTGTTTTAGATTAGCTTTGTGAACTGGGAAAACTCAACAAATTTAGCCTCTGCTTTCCTTTCTTATAAATACCTGGATTATCTCAAAAGTCTAATGATTATCTTTAAGATGCTTTTCACAAATCCTGGCAATTTTCCTGCATTTTTCCACCTTTATAAATAAGGTAACTAAGATAGTAAAGCTGGTTTATACTAGGTTACAACCTCCAAAAAAAGAATTGTCATGTGTCATGTATTCAAACTATTTGTTGAATCCCTACTATAGCTGGTCAAGAGTAAATTTTATGTTTCCTATACTGTTTTTAAAACATATTGAGTAGATTTTGGTGCTCCTGTAGCAAGTAGGATAAATGAAAAATTGCATTAATTGTAATAAATATTTAAGATTATTTATTATAATTGATTTGTTGTTGTTATTGAAGAATAAATTGTATGAACTTTAATGTTGCTGTTAGGTAATATCAAGACAATTCCTTAGAAATAATATAAAACAGATTTGAACAAGGTGAATACCAAAGCTTCTTCCTAGCTTGTATTTCTGTTGTAATGACAGAAGTAACTTGATATCTAAGTCTTTTCCTAATGAATTACTCTCTTATGAGAATGTAAGTGGAGTACATATAGGGAGGAATCCTTAAAAAAAATTGCAGAGTGGATTGTATTTGGGGGTAGGGG